CTGTTGAGAAACATGATAGCTGAAGACATTTTTTTCTTTTCTTTTTTAGTTTTTGCGAGACAAGGTCTCCCTGTAGCCCCAGCTGGCCTGGAACCAAGCTGGTCTTGATCTCATAGTCACCTGCTTCTGCCTCCCAAGTGCTGGGATTAAAGGTGTGGACTACCACCTCTGACTGACATTTTCATTTTAAAAAGTGATTTAATTTCAAAGATATGAGGCTGGAGAGATGGCTCAGCAATTAAGAGCACTTGTTGCTCTTGCAGAGGAGTTTGGTTTCCATCGCCCACACCAGGCAGCTCGTAACCACCAGTTCCACAGGCACTTACACACACGTAAGTAAAAATAAATCTCAATAATGATGAAAAAGATCTTTCTGGCAGTAATTCTACCCAGCAAAGTCTAAAATTTAATCCCCCACAAACTTATCTTTCAAAATACAACAGACTCATACCTCAATGAAAGCATTTAGTGCAGCCTTTGCAGTTTTATACAACTATTTCAGACATTTCAGTATTGAGATCATTGTATCAAAATTGTGTACCGAGCTTAAGAAACAGGACTGAGAGACAATAGAGAGACGGCTCAGCAGTTAAGAGCACTGGCTGCTCTTGCAGAGCACCTGGGTTCAGTTCCCAGCACCCATAAAGCAGTTAACAACTGTCCATAGCTCCAGTTCCAGGGGATTTGACACCCCCTTCTGACCTCAAGGGCATTGCATGACATGGGTGCACTTACCTACATGCAGGCAATACAAACACATAGAATTAAAAAAAAAAAAATTTTTTTTTAAACAGGTCTGAGTACTTAAAATGCCCCAAATTACCCCAAATTCTAATTACACATGAGAAAGGAAGCCTACCCAAATGCAGCCAAGTTTTACCTCCTCGGCACAAAACGAAAATACTTGACTTGGGGCTGGAGAGATGGCTCAGCAGTTAAGAACACTGGTTGTTCTTGCAGAAGACCCAGGTTCAAATCCCAGCACCCACACGGCAGCTAACAACTGTCCATAACTCCAGTTCCAAGGGATCCGACAGCCTCTTCTGTCTTCTGCGGGCACTACACAACACAGGTGCACTTACCTACATGCAGGCAATACATGCATAAACATAAATTAAAAATAATGAAATAAAAAAAATACTTGACTTGCTGGACTTCATAGTTACAGAAGACTCACTGCAACCTAAACATTAACAGTAGAGAGAAAATCCAACCTAGTCTTTTGCCTGTGATAGACCTTAATAAACATGTTAATATTTGTAAATCTAATTAAGAAAAATAATTGCTGCCTAGATCCATACTTTAAGATTTATTTTCATTTTGTGTAATTGTAGTTGATTTATTGCACAAATTTCTCTGTGGCATGCTGCACCTCCACAGGGCAGACCTCACGCTATTACCTGCCTCTACCTTTTTTCCTCTGCCGTCTGGCTTTATAAGAGCTTTATTTTCATGCAGTATGAACCAAACTATAAAATTTGAAAAAAATTACTTGGGGATCAATTTGTTGATTCTATTAATAAAAAAGAGGCACCTGATTAAATAATTCTTTTAGAAACTTGCACCTGCATCAAGCTGAATGGATAAGGATGGCTTAGAAAATGAAAAACTAGGGTTGATGAAATAAAGGATAAAATGCTTGCTGTTCAAGCTTATAGATCTGAGTTCAGGTCACCCAGCAATCACATAAAGGCCAAGTGTGGCATGTATAGTAGCGGGGGGGGGGGGGGGGGGGGAAAAGGGGGGACCAAGGGGTGGGGGCCGGGAGGGAGAGGAAAAAACAAAAAACGTGGGGTGTTAGAAGTTCTCGGAAAAAAAAAAAAAAAAATCAAGTGAAGTGATTGAGGAAAACAACCCAATGTCCATCTCTGGTCTCCACTCACACCTGCATGGACTGATTGGGGGATTGCACACATGCATGCACGGTACATACACAGAAGAAACTGGAAAACTGGCGATAACCTAAGTGTCCATAGAAACGTTGTATGTTATAATGTCTCTAACAGAATGCAGTGTGTCTTTGAAGAGGTAGTGTCCTTGCTGCCTTAGACTTTGAAGGAACAGTAAGAGAAAAAAAGGCTGTAGCTGAGCCCCTGGAATCCTCCTGTCTGCACCCCAGTGTGGGGGTTAGAGGTCCACGCCTGGGCTTTATGTGGGTGCTGGGGATCCCAAGTGGGGTCCTTATGCTTTGTAGACCTGAGTCTTTTCTGCAGCTCTGACGTTGCTTTTATATTTCATTTTCCTCAAAGGATGTTTCACAAAATGTTACAAATATTCAAGGAAGAGATTTGGTTTTTTCCTTGTTAATTATGTAGCTAACATTTAGATTCAACTAAAACATCCAAACTACTAGGTGGTCTTACCTGCCAGTCCTCAAGTTGCTGTGCGGTGGAAGAGAATGACAGGTAAACACGTAACTTGTATGTTATGGTCTGAATGTGTCCTACAATACACACATAGAAACTTGTCAGTATGACTGAATCAAGAAGTGAGGCCTTTGGGAGGTGATTAAATCATGAAGGTCCTGCCTCTCTGAATGCGATAATACTGTAGAAAACGGCTTTCACTCAGCACTTGCTCCTCTTGAACTTTTGTTCCTGATACGTGCAGACAGTGTTTTCCCCTTCTGAGAAGTGATCCAGGTACCATCTTGGAACCAGAGATCTGCCCTTGCGAGATATGCCAAATGTGTGTGTCTTGATCATAACTTTTGTGTTTGTTCTTTAAGTCCCAGGCACAAGTAATGTGTTATAAGCACGGATCGAGTAAAACACTCTCTAAAAGCGGTACACTGGACCGGAGGGGCACAGAGGGAGCTGTTTCTATAAGGCACGAAGGAGGCTCTGAAGGCAGGCTGCCCAGAGACTAGGTAATGTTTTGCCCAAACACAGAAGTAAAAGTAAGACTTCAAGAAACTGGGGAGAGGCTGGAGAGATGGCTCAGCAGTTAAGAGCATTGACTACTCTTGCAGAGGGCCTGGGTTAGGTTCTCAGCACCCACACAGTGGCTAACAACCATTGGTAATCTCCAGTTCCAGGGGCTTCGAAGCTCTCTTCTGATCTCTGCAGGGATCAACACACAAGTGCACTTACATACATGTATGCAATACACTCATACACATAAAATAAAAATAATAAAACAAGGAACTGAGGGCAGGAACCTGGAGCCAGGAGCACAGACGATGGAGGAACTCTGCTTACTAGCCTGCTCCCCTGGCCCCTGCTCAGCCTGCTTTCTTATGCAACACAGACCCACGTGCCCAGGGGTGGCACCACCCACAGTGGGCTGGGCCCTCCCACATTGCTCAACAACCAAGAAGATGCCCCCCCCCCCCGCCCCCTGACATGGCCACATGCCAGTCCTATGAAGGAAATTCTCCAATTGAGGCTCCCTCAACCCAGATGTGTCAAGTTGACACTGAAGCTGGGGGGTGGGGTGGCCAAGGTACAGAAGCATGAGCCCATTGCTGACTTAGTGGCAGCTCAGTAGAGGAATGAGCAGTTCCTCTGGAGGTGTGGGCGGAAGCTGCTGTAGACCTTGATTAAGAAAGCCAGGTTATGTGCATTTCCAGTTCTGACACATGCTACGGTGTGGATGAACCTCGAACATATTGTGCAACTAACACAGTCAGTTATGAAAGGGCAAAATACTGTGTGAATCTACATATATGAGGTACACATTAACAGCCAAATTCACCAAGACCGAAGGCAGAGCACTGGTTACCTGGCTAAGGTGGAGTGGGTGGAGAATTGGAAAGGACTGCTTAATTCCGGAAGGAGTTTCAATTTCAGACGGTGAACGTTCGCTCTGGGGATGGATTCCTGGTAATGGTCGTACAACAACATGTGAATGTATTTAACAACACTAAATTGCATACCTAAAAAAGAGTTAAAACAATAAGCTTATTTTTACCACAGTTTAAAAATGTAAAAAAAAATTTAAAATACAGACCATTTGGAGAAATAACTCAAAGGTTTTCTTTCACGTCATTAAAAGTAGGCATGTGATTTCCTTGCTTAAACTGGTAATGAATTGCTTCTGTTCTGTGGGCGCTGAAAAGGCGCTCTGTGCAGGTTTTTCATCATAGAGACGGAGATGAACTTCAGAGCATCTAATTGGTTCAACAGCACACAGGTAGGGGCTGGGGATAGCTCAAGGAATCCTAGAACCGGAACTCAACCTTTTAGGCGCCACTAAATCCCTGACACCTTTTTACCAATGCAGGCTGCTTATCCTGTACCCCCTCCCCCTCCCCGTTTCTGGATATATCAACTTAAAAAAAAAATTTCCTCCTCCATTTGCAAAGTATCATGTGGTGTTTTCTGTATTCAGAACGCCTCAGGCTTTGCAGAATCTAACGCCTGCTTACTGCTGAGTCACAGTTGATACTTTTTGTGAACTTTGACCTTTTGGAAAGGACCAAAAGGAGCATTCGAGATAATTCAGGGTGCAGCAGAGCATCACCACTCCGTCAGCCACAGGGTGCGGAGTGGAGAAAGGATTCTCCATCCCCAGCAGCCGCTCCCGCATCTCCCGGTGCTCCCCGCAGCGGGACCCAGCGCGCGCTCCGGCGCAGGCGCGTATTCCGCGGCAATTTGCGGTCCCGAGCTCGGTGGCTCCGGAGCGGTCCCCCGGCTTCTCCCCGAGTCGCTGCCCGTTCCCAGGTCCTCTCCAGCCGCGGCCCGCCACGAGCCCAGTACGGCCCTCGCGTGACGCCGCGAGGCACCATGCCAGGGCAAAGTCCCCGAGGGTGTGAACCCCAGGGTTCCTGCCCCTGGGCGGGGACGGCGGCGGCCGTGCCGGGAGCCGGGGCCGGCACCACCCGCGCAGTCCCGCAGCCAGACCGCAGGTCCCCCAGGTGCCTCCGCCGCCCCGCACTCGGGGTCCACGCCGCTCCGAGGCCCGCACAGCACCAAGGCTCGCGCTTCTCCTGTGCCCGCTCCGCCCCGAGGTCCGCGGACCGCTGAGGCCCGCGCTTCTCCGGGGCCCGCACCTCTCCGAGGCCCGCGCACGTCCGAGGCCCGCGCACGTCCAGGGCCCGCGCTTCTTGGAGGTCCACAGCCGCGCTCCTCCGCGCCGCCGCCGCCATGGCGGAAGTTCACAGACGTCAGCATGCTCGGGTTAAAGGAGAAGCCCCCACGAAATCCTCCACACACAGAGATGAGGCGGAGCTGGGGATGGCGCCGGCCGAAACGCTGACGGTGTTCCTGAAGCTGCTGGCCGCCGGCTTCTACGGCGTGAGCTCTTTCCTCATCGTGGTGGTCAACAAGAGCGTGCTCACCAACTACAGGTGGGCCGCGGCGCGGGGTTCGGCTCGGCTGCGGCTCGGCTCGGCTCGGCTCGGCTGCGCCTCCGGCTCGGCTCCGCTCGGCTCCCGTTCGGCTCCCGCTCGGCTACGGCTCGGCGGAGGCGGGGCGGGGGCGGCCGGAGGTCCCACGGTGTCCTGCAGGCCCGCACGCGGCAATGCGGCGGTCTGTCCCGGGCGACCTGGCCCCGGAGCTTCGCAAGGCCGGGCTGAGGATGGGCTGGGGCCCCGCCGCTGACAGCCGGGGGACGTGCACGGCCGCACGCCCACGCGCCACCGGCGCTGTCAGGGGGACTCAGGGGCAGAAGTTTTTTGTGTGTGTATTTTGTGTGCTTTTTATGGATGTTAAAGAGATCTCCAGCTTAACTTTCTGGAAAAATCCGTTGCAGGAAGCTGAGCGAAATTGTAAAAGGGGACAAGATGAGACAAGTGGCCGCCCCAGGCTACAAAGTCAGCGGTGTGGCGGGTTTTTTTCTAAGATTTTTATTTGAATGAGGAGTATGCATTGGTGTGGGATGCATCAAAATGCATGTTAGGGTTGTCAGAAGTTGAATGCACCGTGCTATGGTGCTGTGGGTTTTCTGATAGTTTTTAATCCTTCTCTTTTCCTTACCCATTTTTGTAGATTTCCATCCTCGCTGTGTGTTGGCCTTGGCCAGGTTAGTTGGAATCTTCTGCGTTATGTGGTTTGTGTTGTGAGAACTGTGTATGTCTTTATATGCAGAACAGTGCACCTATGTGTGTTCTCTGTTTACAGATGGTGGCCACAGTAGCAGTTCTCTGGGTGGGAAAGGCCCTCAGAGTAGTCAAGTTTCCTGACTTTGACAGAAATGTACCTCGAAAGGTAAAAGGAGTATTTCTTTAATAAAAAGGAGGCATTCTTTGGTTTTTAAAAAATCAATGCCTTGTATATTTGAAAATTACAGCTGAACCTCCCCCAGTCCCAACAGTATATAATGAGGCTGCAGAATAAATATAGTAGTAATACTTGCATCTCTTTGAAAATTAAGGCAGAAAAACACCCTTCTGTTTTGATTATATAGAGGTACAGCAGTTCTGGGGTTCCAGCTAGTCTGTCCACCTAATCTAGGGGTGATGTCCTGCTCTCATTGTTCTGTGGGTTTTTCATTTCCTTCCCTGTGCTTCTACATGACTCCACATGAAAATGACATGCTTTTTCTTTTTCTGCTGACTTTAAAGTCACAGACTAATGCGTTATTATGTTTTAAAGCCCCTCATTGGTTGATCTTGTTCATATTTGTGTTTCTCTTCTTCCCTGCCTTCCTCTCTTGCTGTTTATCAGAGTAGTTAAATGCTGTTTGGGTGTTTCATGGGGGTCAGAACAGTTTATGAGAACTAATCTTATGTTTGAAGTGGAAAGAATTTGATTGTATAAACATAACTGTTTCTGTTTGAAAGGAGTTTGTTTTAGCTGTCTTATTATTGAGTTTTGTTGTTCCTTTTTAAATTTTCTAGACGTTTCCACTACCTCTACTATATTTTGGAAACCAAATCACGGGACTGTTCAGCACAAAGAAACTGAAGTATGGACAACTTTATCTTACTAGTGAGGTTAAAACAATGTGTTATTAAAGTTAAATATGAATGTCATATTTTATGCATTATTATTGATTCATGGGAGGGGGTTGATAAAAGGAACCAGAAAGCTTTCGTTACCAAATAATGAAGATTGGATCAAAAGTTTTAACAAACTTTGTCTGAGGAGACAGAGTATAGCTTTTTTGTTTTGTCTCTTTTCTTGCTTTTATGTTAGAAGTCTTAAGATGTTGTCAATCCTGTTGTAGAAAATTTTCATTATTTTTGCAGACCTGTCATAAAGATATATGCCAGGACTCTAGAATTCCCCTACCCCACCCCCCTGCCCTGCTCAGACAGTCTCACTTTGTAGGCCCGGCTGACCTGGAACTCATGATGTAGCCCAGTCTGACTTTGAACATGTGGTGATCCTCCTGTCTCTGTCTCCTGAATGCTGGGATTACAGTTTTGTGCTACCATGTCTGGTTTAGGATTTTACTTTTTTTTTTTTTTTCTTTTGGTGGTCTTTTGAGACAGGGTCTCCAGTAGCCCCAGCTGGCTCACTATGTAGACACCAGGCTGGTCTTGATCTTACAGAGATCCACCTGCCTTTGCCTCCCAAGTACTGGGATTTGAAGGTGTGAGCCATCATGCTTGGCAGGATTTCGCTTATTTAATATAGGTCATAAATACTATATGTTTTAGGTATATTTCTAGACAGCAAAGTCAGAGGATAGACACAAGAATGTTGAGAGGTTTCCTTGTAGCATGAAATAGTCAGATGGAATCTTACATAAATATATTAATGTGGTAACCGTACAGTGTAACCACAGAGGCATGTTCATGTTCAGAAAGAAGCAATAGCTCTCTGCTCCGCATAGTGTTATGCATTACCCTCTCACGCCCCAGTTCTTCTGTACCGTGGTAGTGGTGTGTGATATTAAAACTACGCTGTAGACCTCCCTTTGCTTCCCTGGGCCGCACAGCCTCTGGCATCCTGGTGCCAGCACCTTTCCTGGGTTTATACTAAGTTCAATATTGTATAACTGTATTAATTCAACTGTGAACCTAAAAATTTATAGCCACTTTTGAAAGGGATGTATCTTTGCTCTGGAAATTGTTATTGAGCATGTTAAAACTGTAAAGGAATGCTTCTAATCATGTGGTTATTAAATAAAAAAAGAAACTACACTGTAGGGGAACGCAGTTTAGCAGAAACCCACATGAACTAGATGAAGCCCTGATATAGTAAGTGATTACAAAAAGATATAGAAAGCTATGAGGATAAGAGGCAAAGCAGTTTGGTTTTCTCTTTTTAGATTTATTTTTTTAACCAAAAGACCTGACAGAATGGCCGAGAATATCTCTGGGAGAGTTCCTAGGAAGTCAGATTTGTCATGGGTAGGGAACTCTTTCCCATCTCATTATTCATACAGGCCTGCTGCAAAGTGCCACTTTCATAAAATTTTCTTTTTTTTTAATCCTTTGCCTCCCATCCATCCATTCACATCATGCCTTTGATTGCGAGCTAAGTGGAAAGCACTTCAGAGTGTGATGTATTCAGAAATATTTGTATCGTAAGAGTATGTTTGATTTGTGTAAGCAAAATCCTCCAAGAATTTAGAGGAAGGTTTCCACAAAAACAGTATTTCATGGAGTAAGATTTTTGTAGATGCTTTCATGGTGATTTAGAGTAGGAAGGGAAGTCAGTCCAGTGAAGAAAGAAGAAATAAGACTTTTCTATTAAAGACTAATGTGGTTCTAGTCAGGGTATTTGCATAATTTGCAGAGCAGAACTTAAAAGTGTTTGTTAGTATTCTGCAATGATAGATGCATGAACTTTGCCATTTTATGTTTTAAAGGCTTTTTAAAAAGTCATAATTATTTCTAGAGAGAAATAAGGGAAATAAGATTAATCAGCATGGGGCTTCCTCTGTGGATGGGAGAGATTAGCATTGTTTAAATTCCTAATTTGGAGAATCTTAGTTTAAACATGTAAATTGTTGAACTTTGTTTTACCTGTTTATTTTTGCAGCTTGCCAATGTTTACAGTTCTGAGAAGGTTCTCCATTCTGTTTACAATGTTTGCTGAAGGAGTTCTGCTCAAGTAAGCTATAGTTCTAATATATTTATTCCTTTTAAAGATTTTTATTTTTATTTATGTGTATGTGGCATTGTCTGTGTGAGTATATGCCATGTGTGTGGGTATATGCAGAGGCCAGAAGAGGGTGTCAGATCCCCTGGAGCTGAAGTTACAAGTGGTTGTGAGCCACCCTAAGTGAGGTGGGTGCTGGGAACTAAACATGGGTCCTCTGGGAGAGCAGCATGATGCTCTTAACAGCAGAGCCATCTCTCCATCTCCCATGTATCTATTCTTTAAGTAATTTTGAGCATCTTGAAGATACACAACAAACTATTTGTCATACTTTAACTTTTGAAAAGTTGAAGCAGCCTTCTTACCTTGCCATTGGAATGAATGTACTTGGGAAGGTTATGGACCAGAGTTAGAAAATTACCTGAACATGAAATTTACTGTCTAGAGTTCTTTCATCCATTGCTGCCACTGGATCAAGCCAGGTCACAATCATAGGTGCAGGGTTTAAATAGCATTGATGTCTTGTCTTCTTTGAGTGCAAATGTGTGTGATGTTCTCCTACCTAAAGAAACTCTGACATAAAAATCCCAGCTTAGTAATAATAACAAATAGTGAAAACAAAGAAGAAATGAGGGTAATTGTTTTTATAACAAAAAGAGCTTTTGCTCTATCCTTTAAATATCAGTTCCTTGGAAATATTTAAAATGTGATTGTGCATATCTTTTTAAAAGAAAACATGCCACTTTTTTGATCAGTGGTATGAAATGAGTATGTGAGTAACATCACATGTATGTATTTTTAAATTATTTTGTAGGAAGACTTTTTCTTGGGGAATCAAGATGACTGTATTTGCAATGATAATTGGAGCCTTTGTAGCTGCCAGGTAAGATATGGGCCTATAGATCACATGTCACAAATTATCAATAGTTACTGATAATAAATCTTTGAAAAATAATCAAAATTTGTGTTGTATTAAAATCAAAGCTAGCAAAATTGAGATTTGGGGGATTCCTAAAGGCAACTTACATAATTTAGGATTTGATACTGTCTTCTGCTTGCTGAACATATGCCATGTGTCACATAGTATGTTCAGTATTTGCACATTTAGGTGTTCTATACAGTTCCGAGTGATGTAATTATCCTGTTATAGTTGAAGAAACACGATCTTCTGTAACTTGTAAAGGTTACATAACTAGTAGGAAGTAGGGCTGAAAGCTGTGTGCCTACCATCAGCCTCTGATTTTATAAACCATGTTATTCTTTCACTTTGTATATCATTAAAGAAAATAGTGTCTGCTCTTCTTTGAGGTGAAGCAGTTGACAAGTAATCATTTTCCTTGTGGAATAATGAATCACATAGCATTGCTTTGTTTGACCTCACTTAGGATGTATCCAAAACGTTGTACCGTGAATACTCTGTTGGATTGCTAAAGTTTTTCCCATTTTTCTTAAGTTTTAAAATATGTGGGGTGGGAGGCTGAAGAGATGGCTCAGTAGTTAAGAGCACTGGGTCCTTTTACAGAGGATCCAGGTTTGATTCCCAGCACCTATATGGCAGCTAACAACCACCTGTAACTCCATTTCCAGGGGAATCCAACCCTCTTCTGACCTCTGTCTGCATTGCACGTCATGGATACACTGCACACATGCAGACAGTACACTCAATACACATAAAGATAATAAATAAAATATTTAAAAATATGTGGGGAAAGACAAAGAAATTTGAAACACTTTTAAGGAGCGAAAAATACTGATTACCCTAATTTGATTTTTGCATATTGTGTACGTGTATAGAAAGAAAGATAAGGAGAGAGGGAGGGAGGTCTACATGTATGGGGAAAGTGTATATCCACAAGTCACAGTTTCGGGGCTTGCTAGACACCTTCTGAAACACTGTATCCAGCTTGGGGTGCACACAGATGCATTGCTAACGCCACCGATTCATTTTCCTGTTGGGAGCCCCACTGTGCCTCTTTGGCTCATGCATTGTGCTTTCATCATATCTCTATGGTATAAGTGCGCGTGGTGAGTATATAGCGGTCACATTGTATTTTGTATATAATCTCCAAGTAAAATCCCATTATTTGAAAAAAAAAAGAGGACAGCATAAGCATAATTGGTTACTGGGATTTGACTGTATAGCTGACTGTTTCCCTCTACGCTGTGCTGTTTCCTTTAGGACAAATTCTATACTAACCACCTCCCTTTCTTTTTAGAAGTGCCCTGCTAACCTCTATGTATTTTTAAGTATTTCCTTGCATCCATAGGAACCAAAACTCTACTGAACAACAGGGACACTTGGGGGTTCACTTTGGCCTGAAGTTTCAGTCGCATAGAGCACTTCAAGTCATGGCTCCATTTACTAGTTCAGATATAAGTATATAGCATCTCTACAAAGTCATAGAATGTGAAATTATCACTTTGTTAGAGCTAAAATATGCTGAAGGTATACTTTATTAAGTTTTTGTTTATTTTTAATATTTACTGAGTTCTTGTGCTAAGCACTTTAAGTTGTAGGATTTTTGTTTTCTTGATCTCACTTGTAGTTTCATTGAGCAGTTATTTAAGTACCTACTTCAACACTGTTGTGGTTTAATAGCAAAACCATGACCCATACTTCAGACCTTCCACCCAGTAGCGAGTTAGTCCTGTCTTTTTTTTTTTTTTTTTTTTTTTT